TCTCTCTCTCTCTCTCTCTCTCTCTCTCTCTCTCTGTGTGTGTGTGTGTGTGTGTGTGTGTGTGTGTGTGTGTGTGTGTGTGTGTGTGTGTGCAAAAAAACTCCATCCCTCACCAATGCACTGTAACAAAATGTGCACATTATCACTCTTCAAAGTCGCTTGCCGCACAATCTTACAAACTACTCTTCATTTTCTTATTCTTCTTCTTATTCTTTTTTTTTTATTATTAACTAAGGAAGGACTAGGAACTCAGCTTTCCTTGTCGTTCTTACAAAATACTCGGCATTTTCACAAGACTTCTTCCTTCTTCCATCCATTCCAGTTGGGCGGCCAACAACTCTCTTTTTTTCCGGCTTTCGGGCTTATGGACTAAGAGTGGCTGTTGTGTTGAATTCCACACAGAAGGCTGGGTCATTGTTCGCATTCATGTTCACACCATGGACTAGTACTGCAGAAATGTTGAGGCGAATCCGGCGATTCTGGTAATAATAAATGGGATTCGGTGATGGCTGGAAAACTTGTGAGTACAACTTGTTCCCATTGACATAGAACTGGTCGCCACAGGATGGGTCCACGGACGTTGCAGACACAAACGCGCATTTCCCCGAATTCGCCGCATCTACGACTGCCTTCGCACTGCAAGGCAGAAACAAGAACATCGAGAGATTTATGATGATGGAAAAGATCAAACCTTCATTTCGCAGAAAAAAAAAGGAAAAAAAAAAAAAAGGAATCGAGCAAAAGCAACATGGCAAGAGCATCATCGCTGATGAGAAGTAATTACTATATTATCCGCGACACTCAGCGTACATGATTGCTGCAAAGGTGGTTGGACTAACTACCATTAATGAATAACTTATGCAGGAACAAAAATAGCTGCATAGGAAATCGGCAGCGCACACACGATGTTGCATCAACTCAATACGTTCATACATGCTAGGCTACCGGCGGAGTTGCCCAGGCCCACTTGCCCAGCTGCACCCACTTGCCCGGCCATGATAAAAAACAGTACATATCTGGGCTACCAGCTGGGCCATCCGGGTCACCTCGTTTGACCAGGCGAGGTCCAGCGAAGGGCCCAGCAGCACAAAAAAACAAAAACAAAAAAAAACACCCAAAAAAAGACTGAAAAAAAAAAATGTGATGCGCACAAATTTGTCTCAGGGTCAAATCGAAATTCTTTGCCGAATTTAATATGCTCCTCTTCAAAAAACAAAAAAAAATCTTTAGATTCTTTACCCAATTTGAAATTAGAATTTAGAAATATATATTTAATATTTATATATTATATTTACTTTCGTTTTCGTGTGTGTTTTTTTTTAGTTTAATTTTTAACAAATAAACGTGTTTTTTGTTTTTTTTTTAACTTGGATTCGGCTACAAATGTGGAGATGGTCCTCAGCCAAAAGATTTTCGCATTGCAATTCTGCACAGCATATCATTTTTTTCAGATTTCTTTGATTTCTTTTAAATGTCCCATTCATTTTGGGGCCGGGGGTGGGACACTCAGGACCAGACACCAGACGGACATTCAGACTGGGATTGTCTGCACTACAGTCCGCCGATCGTAACCATGGAATAAAACAAACAGCAATGTCAATTTAAACGCAAAAAGGGACTAAATCAAAAGTCACCAGTGCAACAGCATATCTTTTTTTCAGATTTATTTTTTTTCCTTTTGAAAGTCAGACTTGTTTTGGGGGTGGGGGTGGGGGGATGGATTCGGACACCCAGTCCCGGACACCAGTCCCAGATATCCAGACTCAGACCGTCTGCGCTATCATCCGGATTACATCCCAATCGTAACCATGGAAAAAAAACAAAGAGCAATGTCAATTTGAATGTGCAAAGTGACCAAAAACAAAGTCACCAGTGCAACAAGATACCTTTTTTTCAGATTTCTTTTTTCTTTTTTTAAATTTTCCGTCAGATTTTTGTTGGGGGTCGGGGGATGGATCCAGACACCCGGCACCACACACCAAACCCGGACATCCAGACTCGGACTGTCTCCACTACCGTTGGGACGTCCCAATCGTAACCATGGAAAAAACAAATAGCAATGTCCAATTTTGAAATGCAAAAAGGGACCAGATCTTTTTTTTTTTTTTTTTTTTTAATTTGTCACCAGTGCAAGCATCTCCTGTAGCCAAAGAAGGGCAGGACGCCCACTGTTTTTTTAACCCTTTGACCCCTAGGGGAGCAGGAGGCCCAATGGTTTTTCAACCCTTTGAGACCCCTACCTTCTTCCCCCGAACACAACACATATGCGTTGTATTTAAGTTTCAAAATTTGGAAAAACATGGAATAGGACGCATATGAGTTGTATTCGAAATTTAGGGCTATTCGAATAGAAAGCATATGCGTTGTATTCAAAATTTTAGGGTTATTCGAATAGAATTCATGTGTCCTATACGAATAGTAGAATACAAAGAATAGAACGCACCCTATGTGTCGTATTCGTTTACGACGTATATGCATTATATTCGGGGGGAAGAAGGTAGGGCAGGAGGCCCAATGGTTTTTTAACCCTTGACCCCTGTACGCAGATTTCCAGTCTTGGGAACCGTTTTCCTCCAGCCCAGATAGATGATGTGATGCAGATCTCTTTTACCCAATATAGCACCTGTTGTGTTGAAGGAGAGGCGTTGGATAGGACAGCCTCGTTTTGCTGAGTCGCGCTTTACGACGAACAGAGCAGATCCATCTGCATAACCCCGTCAGGGCCTGCCAGATCGGACGGAGTGGTTTGGTGTTGATTGATCGGTTCTCTTCCCCTCCCCTGATACTGCCCTACACCGATATTACCGTGCTGCCCTGGTCTGGATGGGTGATACTGGCAGCTCCATGGGACCAAGGGAGCCCCAGGCTGAGACAGAAACGACCACAATGGGACATGGTCGTGAAAAAACAAACAGCATTCTCTGTGTTATAAGATGTATCACTGGGACGCTGGGCCTGGTTTCCAGCAGGTGCCACTCCCCACCGATAGATGGAGCAGCCCAACAGATAAGCCCTCAATTTCGATGGTTCTCTTACCACGGCCGGGATCGAGGGCTTCCGCAAGGGCTATTTTCTGGAAAAAAACATAATAATAAAAAAAAGACACTAGGTCTGAAGGACTCATAAACCTCGGCTTGGGATTTGGAGAGACTGATCCGTGCGGTGCCAAGCAAGCTCGACTCTTGTGACCATATGTCTCCCCAATGATTAGGGATAGGAGAAGCTTCTCTCAGGTGGTGGTCCCAACCAGATAAGACTGTTAGCACAATTCAATGAATGATTGATTGATTGATTGACTGATTGACTGTGGGAAGGAATTTTGATTTTATGCTGACCCAACATCGTAAAGTTCATTTTTTTTCAGCATCACGTAGTTTCTTTGCAGATTTTAGTGTTGTTTTTTTCCTTTCTTGTTTTGCAGGGACCTTCGCTGGCCCTTGCCCGGCCGGGGCCACCCAGGCAACCAAGTTGACCCTGGCGGCCCAGTAGAGCCTAGTTTGTCTACGTGCTTGCCAATGTTTTCGCAAGAAAAAACAAAAAAAAAAGAGGAGAAGAAGAGGAAGGAAAAGACAGAAAAGTGAAACCACACTGGGCCCCACATAAGTCCCAGTCCCATTGAGTAGATAGGTGCCACATCTGGGAGTCAATACCCAGCATTCCCAGGAGAAAATTTTATCTAGCATCTGCTTTGGAATTCTCATTTGCCTTTATGCCCCCATGGGGACGGACACGAAGAGACCGTCCCACTTGGATCCCAGATCTGGTCGTGATTAAACACGTGTTGTGGCCAGGAGCCCCACTTGCATCTGGAGGCCAATGGTAGCAGGCCTCGCCACTCCATAGTTCCCCTATCTGGGTGCTGGGTGACCAATGGGCCCAGAAGGGACTTCTGGTTTCACATATACTTTGGAATTATAATTTTCCATGTGGATATAAAGACCCCTCTGTTGTCGGGCTGCCTAGGAGGCCCCGCATTAAATCCGTGGACCTGGACAGGGCACACGATTGGGAGCAAGAAGGGAGGTGACAATTATGACAAAAGCAGGGGACGGTCTACTAAACAATCGCCAGTTAAAAAAAAAAAAAAAAAAAAAAAAAAAGTTTCTGCCTGCCCTCCTGAGAAGAGCCCAAGTTGAAAAAACAAACAAACAAACAAACAAACAAAAATGGAGAGGCGAAAGCTCATCTGCATGTCTAACTGAGGTGGAAAAGATATGTGAGTGTGGATGGTGGGCATAATATAGATTTATTACTCCTTGTGGTTATGTTAAGGGACGCCGGACCCGTTTCCAGCAAGTGCAGCTACCCACCAATAGATTGGAGCCATCAGAGGGACGATACCACAAGGGATCGCTCCTACCCGCCCTCGTGATATCCCCCAGGATTTTTATACTATCTTCTTTAGTTTTATGAACACAGCGTAGGGTCGCTGCGACAGTTCTACACGAATATCCTACTTTTTAATCTTTCGGCCATATGGTCGTGATTCGAGAATATCTGGGATGAGTTCTACTGTGTTTTTCTTCCGCCGCCTCCATCATTCGGTCTTCTTCCTCTGCTACTCTGCCCTCTTTTCTTCCTCCTCCCCTTCTTCTTCTTCTTCTTTTTTTTCTTCTTCTTCTTCTTCTTCTTTTTCTTCTTCTTCTTCTTCTCCTTTCTTGTGTGGACATCACTAGACATCCGTGATTGCTTGAAAGGCTATTTGTCTTAACCAGCTACTCTGCCCTCTTTTCTTCCTCCTCCCCTTCTTCTTCTTCTTCTTTTTCTTCTTCTTCTTCTTCTTCTTCTTTTTCTTTTTCTTCTTCTTCTTCTTCTCCTTTCTTGTGTGGACATCACTAGACATCCGTGATTGCTTGAAAGGCTATTTGTCTTAACCAGCGCGACGTTGAGCTGTGGGGCATGGGCTCTCACTTGGGCTGTATACATCGGGATCACAGATCGGTTTTCTTTACCCCAATCATGCCAAGTGAGCAAGAATGAAGAACAAACAGCACAGCAGAAAGACTCTAGATACGACAAATCTGCAAGTTCAACGCTTCCTGGGTATGAAGTGGCTTATCACTATGGCATCACATCCTCGGCTGTGCTTCACTCTTATTTTTCCCTCCTGACAGAAATTGATGTGCTTAAAAACAGAAAAAAAACGTTGTGTTCTACCCTTGGGTCGCTCGAATTGCAGAGCATGGTGATGATCTCGGATCTGTAATGCAAAATTCTTTGTGTCCATCTTCTTCTTCTTTTTCTTCTTCTACTTCTTTTCCTTTAGAAAAACATGCTCCTTTTTTCTTCTTCTTCTACTGCTTTTCCCTTAGGAAAACATGCTCCAATCCTATTTGTGGGGACCAGCACATGCTGTAAACCGGGCCCAGTATACCTTATGAAAAGCACAGAACAATTTGAGATAACAGTGACCTGATCCATCCTCAGCTGAGAGCAACAGCTTCACTTTCACTGCGGTAACTTTTCTGAAAAATTAAACCATCGGTACTTCGCCCAGCTATCAAGTCCGAGCCTCGGCTGACTGGTTTGCCTAACCGTGCCGAGGCTGGAGCTACCAGGAGTGACAATCCCGAGCCTTGTTCACAAGAAAATGAAAAAAAATAAGACCAGACAAAAACCAACAACATTCTTCTCTA